GCAGACACGGGAGAGGAGCTACTGTCGCATCCAGTGCTATTTTATGGCGCAAGCAGTGCCAAATCTCTACACACAGGCATCAAGCAAGTCTCTCCAGGCAGCAGAGTGAGAGTCAACAGCTTCAGCTGCACTATCTATCACTATGGTCTTCCCGATCTCCCCCTAGCCTCCCCCGTGACAGATATCTCTGTCCCCAGCTCATTTTTCAGACAGGTAAACAGACAAGAGGAGAGCGCTCAGGTCATCGGAGGCAGCCTGTTACCAGAGGATCTCAATATTCCTGGCTCCTAGACTTGCCCAGGAGCTCCCTGGCGGCCACATCCTTGGCCAGCAGCTATTCAAAGCGGGATTGTGCCGTTTACCTGTCAGCTACGCAAGGTGATGGTGTCTTGAGTAGGTGGCAGCAGGCCAGTTCAGAACGGGTCGTTACCGCTCAGCAATGCCTTGACGTCAGGCGAGAGCAATGAATCTGGTGAGACTCAGCACGAGCTACCTCTTTGCTTCTAAAGGGAAAGTTGACTCCATGAAGCGAGGCAGCCTGGCCTAGCAGCTCCAGCAATGGACTAGGAAGGAAGGAAAAAGCACTTGGGTCTGCTGGCTGCAAACGGGCGAGCGGATCTTTCCCAGACGGATAAGCCAGGGAACAATGCTGCTGCCGATGCCCTGTGAAGCGCTGCTCACGAGTGACTCTCCGAACCAGGAGATCACCAGAGGAGGTCACCAGCTGCACCCCAACCTCATCGCTTTTGCAGAGACTGCACAGCCCATGCCACGTTTATGGACAGCCTACAAAGCCTCCTACCAGGCTCAGTCGTAGCGTGGGTTGGCAACGTAGAGGTACTGGACCACGTAAGCAGATCTGCATTTCCTCGTCTGAAGGAGCTCAGTGCTTCATGCTGTGGAGCAGTGGGAGCCTGTTTTCAAGCCAGAAAACAATTAGGAGAATTCCCTCACATCTTCTCGCAGGCAGCAGCAGAGGCCACATAGGTGAACACTGAGCTATGAGGAACACGTGACATAACGGCCTTGAGTTTGCTGGTGCACTGGGGGCCTGCCAAGGCCAGCAGGTCCCAGACCCTGGGAATTTCAGTTGAAGGACCTTGAATTCCTGTCCCCAAAGAGTCACATCCTTTAGAGGAGGCAGCGTGGTTTGCAGCCAGTTCTCGCAGGCCAGGCGGAAGGAGTGAAGCCTCTCTTGCTACCAAGTCCAGCTCGCCTAAGGGTTTGGAGGCAAGGCTCTGAGAAAATACAGAAGCCAGCTCTGAGCCTTCTGCATGGCTGTTTGATTTTTGAGCTGCTGAGCCCGAAATGCAGCAAAGCAAGGCCAGAAGCCAGAACAGTCTCCCCAGCAGATCTCCAGTCTTCAGAGCATGTCTGCCTTGATTTTCATGTGCCGCTCCATCTACAGAGACCCAGACTGACAATGATGAGAGCAAGGGCGGATGGCCACGAGATGGGCTGGCAGAGCAAAGATGTTCCATTGCCACCCTCACCAAGCTGACCTTAGCTGACAGAAAGCGTGGGACCATCCTAGCTCCCCAAGATGCTAAGGAGAGACTCCATTTGGATCCTAGACTGTCAAGCCAAGAGAGCAGGTGACTATTACGTCTGCCAGCTCCTGGTCTGCTCTGAATTAGATGCTATTTGCTGGGATTCATGAAACAGTGAGTTCTCAGGAAGGAAACTCAAATCTTTACATCCGAGATCCCTACGAGTCTTACTCACTGCCATGCTGAATAAAGTATTTCCAGCAGATGCTCATGGGTCAGGAGAGAAACTTGGGATGCAGAAGGGAGAGAGTCCACAGAGGTGATCGCTTGGCTGTAGTGATCGTAACCAAAAGGCTATTGTGCATCAAAATGTTGGTGAGCCATGTAACAGTGAACTTGTAACAAACCAGCACCTCCTGGTGCAAAACGCTAGCACACAGACATCCCAAATCTGTGGCGGAAGCCCCATCCCTCCTCCTATCCTTAAATGCAGCTCATGCCTTCAGACCATCCCTACTGAAAAGGGGCAGTAGCTCTCTGAAGCTCATTTCAGCTGTGCCCTGTCCTAGGGGCAACAAGTTACCTGCATCAGCCTAGCGCACCTGGAGACTGTCAGGATCAAAAGCACCCGAATATCCACATGTTGCTGAATCACTCCAGGACCAACCTCCCGCCTTGTGGTCTCCAGCAATGGAGAGTGCCCCAAGATACCGCTCATCGGACAGCAGCCATTGAACTCCAAGGAGAGCAGGCTTCCATTGCAGAGAGACCCCGTGAAAGCAAGGCCACCGTTTCTGCAGTTTTCTAGCTTGGCACAGGTCAGTCGGTGGCCATGAACTGACACACAGAGAGCAGGGGCAGCCACCCGAGCACTGCATTTCTTCCTTGCTGTAGAGAAGCCAAGGTCCCAGGGCCGGCACTCCTCGGAGAGGGAGATATTTGCTCAGCCAGCAGAACCAAACCAGCTGCCCGCCCTGGCCTGCTGCTCCCTGGGACCACCTCCACTAACAGAGATGCTGTAGCTTGAGGAGAGCCCTCTGCCCGAATGCTCACTGCAGAGGCCAGAAAAAAGCTGCCTCCTGCTCGAGGAGGCTGCCCTCCACCCAAGTTGGCAGAAAACCTGTGGCAACGTTTTTCCCTGTGCCCTTCAGCTCCCTCACAGATACCAAATAGCCCGTGAGCTCCCGCCGAGGGTAGGCAAAACCGCAACGGCCAGAACCTCCCTGCAG